TTTGCCTTTTTCCCTGTTTTTGTTTTAGGCAGACAGTAGGAAGTAGTGGTGGCTGATAGACTGGACATCAAGAAACTTCAAAAACTTAAAAGTGAACACAGAATAAGTAAATCACAAGAGTTGAGTGGCTTAGTATAGGTGTCTGGAGCCCTTATCTCTAAAGGGATGTTGACCCTGAATACATCACAGTATCACAGCATAGTCATATAACAGAAATTTTCCCTCTTCTGGGCCAATAAAACAACTGTGAAAACAGGATAGTTCTGTATAGTTTTTTTTTTTTTCCCCTGTATAGGCTTTTAAGATACAAAGTCTATACGTTGTGAAGCTGAACTGTGTCCAAGCCAAGATTCATGACAATTCTATCCTTGAATTTTCTTACCCATTTTTATATTACAATTTCAGGCAGCCTATTTATGAAAGCATTTGTAAAAGGTATTTCCCACGTTCTATTTCAAGGCCATTATCCTCATCTTCATAGCAAGCAAACTGAAAGTTTTTCCATTATTTGTGTTACTTCCTAGATTTCTGGCATTTATATTTCTGGTTATATACAGAGGTTACTCTGATCTCTGCCCATTTCTCTGATCTCATTGTCTGTTTTGATCACTCATTTGTTTAATTCAGAGCATAGTTTTAGAGTTAGAGCATACACAAATCTGAATCAAAGTCCTTTGCAGATTATTTACCTTTCTTATTCTCTGATTATCTGCAAAATGAGAATACTGTATATACATTATAGGACTGACATGAAAACTAAGCTATAAATACCTAATAAATATTGTCTTTCCTTTTTGCTTTCTTACAGATTTTCACTTAAAGGAGATTGAATTTCAGCATCAGAAACTCAGAGAAATAAGTTATCAAATAACATACCCAAGTATAAAAATAGTAATCTATTTGTAATAATAAGCAGAGGAAAAAAAAGCAAACTGTGGCAGACTATTTTATTTAAGGAGAAGCCAAGTCTTACCTAGCTTAATGCCCCAAGTTTCAGTGACGTTAAACGGTAGACATTATACAATTATATTTATAGATGTTACTTATGATAATGTTTCCTACACCACTCAAGGAGCTGAGTTTGTCTTCTGGAAAGCCTTGACTGATCAGCAGTTGAGTCCCCTGCTGTGTAACACCACCTCACCTTTCCAGGCGTCTTCTGCTAAAAACCCTGACTCCCTGTTGTATTCAGTGTCAACACTTCGTTAATGCATCAAGTGGTTCTCAAATGTCATTTGGGTCACAGTCATTGCTTGATAGTTACTTGGAGTAGAGATAATGTGACCTCAACCAAGGCCCATTGATTCACAATCTATAGTGATGAGGCCCAAGAAACTGTACTTACAAGGTGTCCAGTGTCTTTCAGGAGCAGCCAGGTTGGAGACGCAGTTGCTCAAGCCTCTAGTTTCAGTTAGTCCTTTTTCCTCTCTCTTCATATCCAATCCATCAGCATAAGCTCTACTGCCTTCACCCTGGTGGAAGGTATGTTGGATTACCACTCTCTCTCTCCAAGACCACTTACAGTGAACTAACTTGCCATCCCCTTAGCTCTTGTTCTCATTTAAGCTATTTTCCACCAGCTGCAGAACCAATGTTTTAAAAATGTAAATCACAAAGGTAAGACAATTAGACTCTCTTTAAGAAGGACTGGCAATGAATTGAACTATATTAAAATGCATTAATTCATAATGATACTAGAATAAACCCCCTCAAAACCACCTTTGGAGGATACTGTTAAACCAGTTCCTTATTTTATATACTAACTAGTGAGTGAAGGGAAAGAATCAAGCATTTATCCTGCCCTTTTAATAGAAACAACCTCAGGGTAACCAAATTACTGATGAATGGAAGTATATAGAAATATTTCAGCTAATAAATGAGAGTATCACCATTTTGCAACCCCAGCGAGATACTATATCTAGGCAATGATCATCAATGGCAGTTAATATCATAAAAACTGGAAGCTTGGAAGTACCTAACAACATAAAGTATTGCTCCCCCCCCACAAAAAAAAAAAATCACACCTTAATCTGACTGGCCCTCTAAATCAGTTTATAAGAAATACAGAATACAAGGAAACATGTCAAATTGCAATCAGTAAAGTGAAGAATGTGGGAGACAGGACAAATAATCTGGTTTCTTCAGTAAATAAATTGCAAGGCAACAACAAACAAGAAGGGAGGGTTAGGAAACAACGACAGAATCAGAGATATATATCAACCAATTGCACTGTATGGGCCTTACTTGGATCTTAATAAGATCAAAGTGGAAATAAAATAATGGAGGACATTTGGAATTAACAGTTTCTTGGTGAGATAATTTTCTGAAGTCCTTATGTTTTAAATATATTTATGGGAATATTTCATATGAAATTTTTAATCTGGGATTTGCTTCCAAATAGTCTAGTAGGGGAAGAGTTGGTGGGGATACAGATGAAACAATTGTTGAAATTGGGTGATGGGGGTTCTTTATACTATTCTGCTTACCTTTGTATGTCTCTATAGGTCCCCGTTAATAAAAAGTTAAATATAAATTACATTAATAAAACTTCAATCAATTGCTGTTGAATTTAAAGTAAAATCCAAAGCCCATACCTTTACCTATGAAGCCACTGCATACATACCTCTCCATCCTGTCTTATAAGCCTTTATTTCCACCAAGTTCTCGCCTGCTCGCACAATTTCCTCTGAAGGGAATATTCTTCCTTCTCCTCACTCCCTTTTGGCTACCTCAGAGCCTCTCTTTCTGGCTTAATCATCATCTTGGAGGAGGTCTTTCCTGACTGCCCTAAAGCTGGACTTTCCCTGTTGTCAGTGTACTTTATTTAGCATAATTTGCAATTATATATGTTCGTTTCTCTTTCAGTCTGTTTCCTAGTAGAATATAAGGAACTATGTCTGTCTTGTACACTCCTATATTTCTAATGTCCATCACGTGTGTGATATGGTCAGTACTTAAGTGCTTGTTCAGTGAATTATTGTGTTGTCTGTCTTATATATGTCAACTCAAATTGTGTTTGATGTGAAACTAAGATGACTGAATTAATGCTTTGGTAGATGTAATTTCTGGAATAAGCTCAAGTATTTCCTTGAAATCAGATACATCTTTATGACCACTGAGACTGTGAAAGCGACAGAGGGCTGAAATGAACTTTAAAATTAGGCACAAATAGATTGTCCAGAAATAAAGACTCTATTTGTATGACTTGCAAATTACACTATAATGAATTTGATTTCAGTTTAGCCAGATTCTTCTGTGCATTGGATTCTCATTGGAAGAGTTTAGCTCATACCTCTCAATGCAGAGATTCTTGGATTAGGAGTTCCTTGAGGGGTCTTTGTACCATGGCACCTGACACGCAGGGGCACGTAAATCTCCGGTAGTGCTTCACGTACTTTGAAGATCACAGCAACTCATTTTCCGCAGTCCAAATAATCGTAGCTTATTTTATCTTCAGAAATCGTCATTTAACAGTTTACAAAAGTCCTCAGGTTCTTCTTAAGCTCTTCTGGTAGCCAGCCTCCAAGTGGCCCCTCACCCCCATCCATTCTTGCCCTCCAGGTTTCCATACCCTGTATATTCATTCACACCCTTATTGAATAGGGCTGACCTGTGTAACCAGTAGGCTATTGTGGAAATAAAGGAAGGTGATCTTGAAGGTTAAAAGCCACTGCAGCTTCTGGCCAGTTAAACCTCGAAAGTTTCTTGTCATGGTCTCTCTTGCTTTCTTCAACAGAATGACTTCTGATTACTCACTTCAGTTTTAAAACGACATTTTAGATCATACCCTTCACTAGCTTGCCATCCCTGCAACCTAGAATCACCTGTACATTGAATAAATATGCTTTATACTTCTATCATTCTAAGCCGTGGATAAAAATGCTAGAAGACGAGTCTGGTATTGATTGTAACAGTCCTGAAAGATTATGGAGTATGTTTAGAGACTGACAATGAACCTACGATGATTTTAAGGTTACGATATTCTAAAATTTGAATACCCACTTCATACAGAAATGTGGGTGACAGATTAATTTGATCTCCCTTTCCTCCATCTATTAGATCCATCACCATCACTGGAGAACACTAGATGCAGATATCTCTTGATATCTAGAAACCAACTTTTAAAGCATGTATTTCAGTGTCAAGTTTTGCACTGGTTTTTCAAACACAAATTCTACAAATTATGAAAAATTCCCTAATACTTTTTTTTCAAGGGGAGTGGGTGCCCTTAATTGAATTAGACAACCGAGATATGTCAAGAAATCTTTATTTTTCATACAAGGTGCCACTGTAGGTAACCATCACTGCTGTTTTCAGATATACAGAACTGAACGAAAGCATTTTAGCATGCCGCCTTACTGTACATAGAAAACTGCTGAACATCTTCAGACTAAGACTAGGAAATGAAATGGGTTAACACCATTTGTTGATATGCTTATGAAATCACTCAGCAGTGTTCTTATAGGTTGTCTTTACTTGAAAGCAGAATTACAATCACTCTGGCAGCCTCTGGGCCATTCTAAAATGCAGGTCTAGTGAAGGGTACAACAAGCAAGCAAGAGATAGGTACTGTGTCCCAATGTGAAGGGAGGCTGATTTGGAGCCTGGCTTGGCACATTTTAAGAGTTGATACAGCCATCTTAACCGCTTAAGATTTGAGTGTCCCTTACCGCGTATGTTGGCAATCAGCATAATTGAGAATTTCTGAAATACAAGCTGAGGGTTAAAAAGCAGAACTGTCGTTCATATAACAGAATTGCTACTTAACTTTTGCCCAGCTCTCACCAGTTGTCCTGCAAAACCCCCCACCCACATCTGATGGATTTTAATGAAAGCCTCTAACAACTGTAACAGACCCTTCTTAACCCAGCTCTAGATACTAAGTATCGGAAACAAGTGCCTGTGAAGTGGATGTGTCCACGGAAAAGGGCAGTGTTTCTACTGGAGGTAAGTGTCCAGCTTCCTCTTGATGTTGTCAAAGGAATCTGCTCCCATGTAATCAGCCTGGCCCTGTTCCCACCGCTCCTTCCGTTCTTCTGAGGATACAAAAGGCTGTGCCGTAGCTGGGATCTCCCCAAGGGACAGCTGTGATACGGCTCCTGAGACATTTTCCTAGAAAGGGGAGAATAATCAGAGACTCCTTTAAAGCTGAAAGACCATTTTAAAGAATGCAGTAAACTGAGGAAGGTGAGAAGAACCAGGATGAATTATCATGCAAGGCGGCAAAAACTGAAAAGTATTACACGAAACAAAACAAGACACAGAAATACAAGGATCATGATATTTTTCCTAACAAAATGAAGACTTCTTGACTCGGTGAAAACATAGGGAGAACAAATTAATTGGGTAGGGTTAATGTTTAAGTTCTGCATACCTTTCTACAGAAGCCACAAGAGAAAGCCAGTGTATAGACCAAGTCTGAAAGCTGCAACAGTTCATTAGAAAGTGTAAGATGGATGGACAAGGGAACACAAGTCTCACGATAAGTTCTTGATCTGTGTGGGCTCAGAAAGGTTGAGAACTTAAACGAAATGATACCTCAGAAGCTACTCTTCAGAAAGAACCTAAGCAGAGAGCCGCACCACATACACAGCTGTCGCATCATAAAAGCGAGAGCTAAACGGTCTGAGCCATACACCAAATTTATCTTCCTGTTCAAGCTTATAACGTTAAGTCCTTCCCTTGGATTAGTCCTGCCTCTGCCTTCCACATGTCACCGGAATACCAGGAGCCTCTTGCAGAGTCCTCTGCTCACAATGCTTTCATAAGGACAGCCGCCTCTCAGACCTGGATGTGAGTCCCAGTTCTGCTACTGACTAGTCTGTTACGTAACTAAGGGAAGGGATGTAACTTCTTTAAGCCTCAGTTAATTTTAATATATAAAAAGGGGATATTAACAAAAATAATACTTACTTGACAGAGTGCTTATAAGGGTTAAATAAGAATAGATATCTTAAGCACTTACTATGTACCTGGCAATGTTCCAAGTACTGTACAAGTAGTATTTCCTGCTCCAAATAAAGCAATTAGTGCAAGAATGTAAGTGTTAGTTATTTTTCCCATTCTCCTTTTTATATTTTGGCACAAGTGCTCATAAGTGAAATGGCTAAAATCTATACCATAGCAAAGAGAAGGATCTCTTATAACCTTATAGTCTCTTATAATTATACCAAGGTACTTAACTGATCTACTAAGACTTGATTATAATTTACCCATTCAGTTTTATTCTTTTTTTTTTCTTTTGCAGTACGCGGGCCTCTCACTGTTGCGGCCTCTCCCGTTGAGGAGCACAGGCTCCAGACGCGCAGGCTCAGCGGCCATGGCTCACGGGCCCAGCCGCTCCGTGGCATGTGGGATCTTCCCGGACCGGGGCACGAACCCGTGTCCCCTGCATCGGCAGGCGGACTCTCAACCACTGCGCCACCAGGGAAGCCCAGTTTTATTCTTTATATCTTAATATGCAACATCAAAGTTTAATTTCTCATCCTCTTCCAATTCTTCCAAAAGAACAAACCTCAGAGGAAGACCTTTAAAGTCAGAATTGTTCCTGTAAATGTTAATGTCATCTTCCTCTTACAGAGAGATTTATTTTTCAAGATCCAATAGAACCAGAGGAGTAAAACATGGCAAATCAAAATAATCCTAGAAAAGTATTTGCTGTATGTTCATGTTATTGTAATTTTCACTTGGAATATATTCTTCTACACGATGGCAAAAATAAAATAGGTATATTTAAATACTTGCTGTTTCCAAAACATGAAATGGGGCGTTCTTTGTTTTTGTAAACCACTATTTTTGGGGGGAATAATCTTATAATCTTAGGACAATGGGCTAAGAATTTTATAGTTATAACATACGGATATATATATATATATATATATATATATATATATATATATATATATAATATATATATATATCTATCTATCTCATCAACATGACTGTAGGGTCTTTATAAAGCCCCGAGTTAAAAGCATACTTTATATATTGTTTGGGGGACATACCTAATTAGGTAGGCGCAACCCATATTTGAGTTCCTTTCCTGGTGATGAGATTGAGCATAAGATCAGCAACCCTTGCAAAAAGGTGACTGAAACAGGACTTCCTCCTTCTGAGAATGTCCCCTTCACAAGATGGAGAGTTTCTCAGTCAAGCTTAGAAGAGAAGGGGCGTTGCTTGTCTGTGTGGAATCCCCCCCCCCCCCCCCCCCCGCCCCCCCCAGCCACAAGTCACCTCTCACAAGTTCCTCCCGTTTACCGGCCCAAGTCCCAGGTTCCCATTTACAGCCATGGGGCGTCATAAGAGAGTGTTGGGATCTTTGTAGATTCTTTCTAGTCTGCACGACCAACCCCATCTCTGCCTTTTCATCTCACCCATGGGAGAAAGGAGAGAAAGAGGCAACACCAACTTGTGAAAATCAGGTCGAAACTCCAGTAGCTAGAGACTCTGATTTAACTGATCTGGAGATGAGACTTTTATTTTCTAGAAGCTCCCAGGTGATTGTATTATGCAGCCAGGGTCAAAAACTCCTGGGTTACAGGAATGTAACTGTATAGATCTAATCTATCTATCCATCTAAATCTCTAAAAACCTTTCCCTTGCTCCCAGGTCTACTGAAATTTGCCACAAAATCTACTTCTGCTCTAATCTTTGCTGGTAACATTTCTCCACTCTAAGATGGACATCGTTTTCTTTCCACAAAGTCTTACTTAATCTCTTTGTTCAAAATACCACTAAATATTCCATCTCTACCAGTATACCAAATTTTAAAAAATACAGCATCAAATTACCTGAAGAAAAAAAACAGAACCTACCACGTGTACGTATGAGCGGGTGTCTTTGACAAGGCCAAACTGCTGAAGCAGAGGTAAAACGCTGGTAGTGAAGATGTCCCACCACAGGTTGAGAAACTCTGGATGAGTCACAGTGGGATCGTGGGACTCACTTCTGACACTTTTTGTTTGAGGATCGTAAGTATAATTCCACGGTTTGATTCGTCCTAGGAAATGCACAACTTTGGCATTTGCACCAAATCTGCCAAGTGAGCACAAGTTGAAACGGTTAGTGGATTCTGAGCACTGACAGTTCACCTTCCATCCTGCAGCAGTGGCTGGAAAAAAAGTGGAGCTCACTGAAACAATTTTAGACTTCTAAAATTATTCAATTATATGTTAGGTATACACAAAATCCCAAAGTAGCAGTGGATCAGTGCAACAACCCAACACTGATCCACCGTGGATAGCAGAGGTACAGCCACTTGTTAAACCATTTGATATTACCTAGTAAAACTGAAAATGCTCACACTTTACAACCCAGAAGGAAGCTCAGCTCCTAGGCACATACCCTACAGAAACTCTTAACACGTGTGCAACAGGAAACGTAATCAAAATGTTCACAGCAGTAGCACTGTTTGAAATAGTCATAAACTGGAAACAACTGAAGTGACTAGACTTTAGATTACTGTTCAGCAAGCATTCATGCCTTTTCCCAGTCTCTACAGGGGGAGTACACTTTCCTGCCTGACTGATATTTGCATGCTTGCATGACTTGCTTTCACCAATGAAATGTGGGCAGAGTGACAGCGTGCCTTAAAATAGCATTGCTTGTTTCTGTTCAGCCTCCCTGAGAAGCTACAACTTCTGCCAGCGGAAGAATGTACCCTGGGTAGCCTGCTGGTTCCAGAAGAATGAGACAGTCACAACAGATATGGATCAAACCTGTGGCCCGGCTCCAAACTCAGCTGAGATGATCAGAGCTGTCCCAGACTACTCAATAACATATGAGCAAGAAATACATGCTGACTGTTGAATGTCACTGAAATTTGATGGTTATCCATTCTGTTTCTGTTTTAAGGACAACTTCTGGTATATTCATATCATAGAACACAATAAAGCAGTGAAAATGAATGAACTGTAGCTACCCAGATCACATAGCAAAAGGATGACTTTTCAAAATACGTTGAAAAAAAGAAATTATACAAATTCAAATAGAAACACATACATATGAATCTACTTACACAAGGACAAAACAAAAAAAGTACTGTTTAAAGAGTAGAAAACTGTAATCAACGTAAATCTCATGATATTGGTTATCTGGGGAGGAAAGGGGAAGCTGAGATGGGAAAGACGAAAAGGGGCTTCAAAGATACTGGTTATGTTCCAATCCTTAACTTGGGTGGTAAAGGTGTTTTAAAAACTAAACATTTTTGTATATCCTCTTGTATATACACTATATTTCACTGAATACACAACACACTTTTTATATTATCTCATAATATAAAAAGAGTAAGACTTAAGAATGGTCCTGTTCTGGCTGGGAGGAAATCTATACATGTGAAACGAAATAATGATAAAGGTGAATACAAGTGCCAAAAGGAAGATGGGAACAGTGAGTGCCCTAAGAATTCAGAAGCAAGGAGGTCACTGAAAGCTAAGGTCATTGGGGCAGGAGGTGCTGAGATAGTGGATGTGACTTAAAATTTGTCCAACAGATAGGAGCTGGGTAGCTGGTGCTAATACAGGGAATTGTAGGCAGGGGGATGCAGGTATCAGGTGAGCATGTGTGTACCAGACCGAGTGTCCTCCAATTAGAGCCAAAGAGGAAGCTTTGATAGGGAAAGGTAAAATGGGACAGATCCTTGGGTGTTGGGCTCAAGTGTCAGATTTTAAGTGGAGTTATCCTATAGGCAACCGAAATATTTGAGCATGACGTACATTTCAAAACAATGCAAACTCTATTCATGTAACTCATCTTCTAAAGGTTTTTTTGTTTTTTTGTTTTGTTTTTAATGTCACAGACCTGTTATATAGCTATCATTATCTGACAGTTTACTATGTTTGGGGCCCAAATTCTTTCAGGACACATTTGGGAATAATCGTCCTGCCAGGTAAATTTTACTAATGTGTTAAATGGAGGCTCCTAGAGGCTAAGTGGGTTGCCCAGAGCCATAAGGCTATTTAGTGGCAGAGATGGGATTTGGCACAGTTTTGCCCCTCTCTTAAACCTAAGCTCTTACCATCCTACCACGCTGCTACTCCAAAACCATGCAAGAAAAAGAGAGCTTACTGTAAATTTCCTCCTAAGGATAACTAACTATCCTCCAGTGCATTTCTTTTGAAGATGAAGTGGATACTTGATATCCCCAAGCTTACCCTCTATTTTATACACGTGGTATATTTTACATGCACACACATACTTGTGCACATATACACACAAGAACTCTCAATGTTATCCTTAAAAGGATAAATCATAATGCTCAAATCTGTGCATAGAGAGGGCTGTCAATTAAATAAGCAACTGTTACATGTAAGGCACTATACTGTGATCAGTGTGCGACCCTAAGAGGCTTTATCCAAACGTGGAGATGAGTCATCTACATAAAAATAAGAAACAGTAGCACAAGCAAAGCAACAAGCCGGGGCCAGCAGGGCAGTGCTGACATTAAGGGCTATGGACATTCCGAAGCAATTACTGCAGGTGGAGGTTTTCAGAAGAGGCTTCAGACGAGGCTGAGAAAGATGAGCAGGATTAAGAGAAGTGCCTTCAGCAAATGTTCTAATGGTGACAGGGGAACCCATCCCAGAGACCTGATACTTGTGTGCTGGTGGGGCGCGGGGATGGGCGGGGACAACAGGCACTGCCTCATCCTAGTGGTACACGGAAGCCTAAAACCAGAATAGAGCACATGTGAAAGAGGAGGTGCCCCTTCCACCTCCTCAGACACCCACTCCTCCTGCCCTGACTTCCCTGCCTGGAGCAACAACACTTGTTTGCGTCTCCTTTATTAACTGACCAGTAAGTTTCAAGCCATGACCTGCCGAGCCCAATTTAAACATCACACGCAGTCATTACATGAGAGCCATGAGAGGTAGCAACACTAATTAAGATAAAAGATGAATATAGTGGGCTTCCCTGGTGGCGCAGTGGTTGAGAGTCCGCCTGCCAATGTAGGGGACGCGGGTTTGTGCCCCGGTCCGGGAAGATCCCACATGCCGCAGAGCGCCTGGGCCCGTGAGCCGTGGCCGCTGAGCCTGCGCATCCAGAGCCTGTGCTCCGCAATGGGAGAGGCCACAACGCTGAGAGGGCCGCGTAAAAGATGAATATAGCATGAACTTTATTCCTTTCCAGGCCACTCTCCCAACAGTTCACATCTGCTTAAGCAGTAGTCATCGGAATAGCTAACACACACATGTGCCAGACACTGGTTAACATCTGCATGGTTCACCTCAGTTAATCTCCAGAAACAACTATGCGAGGAAACCAAGGCAGGAAGGAGTTAACTTGTCTAGGATCATGTGGCTGATGAGTGACAAGGCTGGGATTCCACCCATGCAGTCTGGCTCCAGAGCCAAGGTTCTCATCCACAACTAGGCTGTACTTGTAAGACACTCCTAGAATCATAAGGACATCACCTGAGAGTGTCACTTGTTACTCCAGGGATTAACTCCCTGCCTACAGACGGTCAGTATCAAAGTTGGAAATGAGCCCTGGAAACACCCCCAGTATAGTCAAGGACAGAGCAGCAGAAAGTAATTAACAGGAAAGAAAGCTACAAAGCAAGCAACTTAGCACTGTCTGAAGACTGTTCTCAGAGGGATACAGTTTTCACAAAGTTTAGGGGGAAAGGGGGGAAACAAGAGCAAGAAACAGACGGCGGTGCTTCTTAGGACCCACAATTGGACTGTGCTGGGCAGTGTCTAAGGGCCTTCCCAGAGTGAATGCAGAGGAAGGGCACAACGGTCCAATCCACAGAAGAATGCCACTGCAAAGCGGCCAACACGCCTGCACCGCAAGACGGCCCAGTCTCTGCGGGAGGCGGAAGCGCACACCTCAGCCTCTGGCTCTGTCTGTGCCCCAAGGTGGCTCAGGGGCCTCTGCCACCTCCCTGGGTACTGGCCTCGTGCCGGGCGGATTCCTCCCAACGTGGCCCGTGGCCTTCTCCTTGGATGTCAACAGGAACACCACTGCGGACGGTCCACACCCTGCATTTCACTGTGGCTCAGGCCTGGGCTCTACCTTCATGAATCCATGATGCCTAAGTGCTTCTTTAATGCTAAATCACTGTCACCTTCTGTGGCCAGGGGGGGAAGGACCCCCTTTCTCAAAATTACCTTCTTTACCTATTCCACCCTAACAACGTGAAAAATTCTATCCACTGGACAGTCCTTTCATCAACCGAGCAGTCTTGGTTTTAAGAAAGTTTTTTTTTTTTTTAACATCTTTTTTGGAGTATAATTGCTTTACAATGGTGTGTTAGTTTCTGCTTTATAACAAAGTGAATCAGTTATACATATGTTCCCATATCTCTTCCCTCTTGCATCTATCTCCCTCCCACCCACCCTCCCTATCCCACCCCTCAAGGTGGTCACAAACCACCGAGCTGATCTCCCTGTGCTTATGTGGCTGCTTCCCACTAGCTATCTATTTTACGTTGGGTAGTGTATATATGTCCATGCCACTCTCACTTTGTCACAGCTTACCCTTCCCCCTCCGCATATCCTCAAGTCCATTCACTAGTAGGTCTGTGTCTTTATTCCCATCTTGCCCCTAGGTTCTTCATGACCTTTTTTGTTTTTTTCTTAGATTCCATATATATGTGTTAGCATAAGTCTGTTAGAGGTAGAAACTGAGATCTCAAAGGGTTCTAAATGTGGGTAGAACTGCCCTTTCTGCTCAAAGGCGAGGAATTCCTGGGGTGCCAGTAAGATGGGGGGAGGGTGGGAAGGGTTAAGAGGTGAGCAGAGGCAGGCTGCACAGTGTGAGGTACCTTCCCAACAGCTCCCCAAATCCCAGCAACAAAACAAATCGCAAAATGCACAGGGTGAGAAGTTTCTTGAGAAAATGACTGGGGCCAGGGTACTGAGGGGCAGACCAGGAAGAGCCTGAGGATTCAGGAGGCTGACGGCAGAGAGATGCACGAGGAAGTCAGGAGGATGCTGGGGCTTACAGGCTTCATGCAGAGGCTTCGGATGTCACGGGTTCAGGCTACGGTCAGCCCTATTTCTGCACAGTAAGGAACAGGAACCTGTTTTTTT